TAAACTTTTCTGTTCATATCATTTAATTTGATACGATAAATAAGATAAAATATCTATTACAAAGTAGGTTCCGTGTTCTTCTTTCCATGATAGAAACTTTAAACATTCTTCGTCAGGCGCAAATCCATACCCACCCCTCGTTTGAGACATTCCCACACCATCGAACACCTTTATTTTATCTTCAACAGTGCTGAGCTGTACAAATCCGGTCGAAGGGTCCGCGGTGTTTACCCGATCGACCCGATGGTTTAGGCGCCTTTAATGTGTATTGTGACCAAACTACAGCCGTTGGAGGATAGACAGTGATCCAGGAGAGAATGGATGGCTCTGTCAATTTTAACCGCACCCGGGATGACTACAAACATGGCTTCAATAACTTGGTCGGTGAAATTTGGCTTGGACCGGACAAGATAAACCGCCTGACCCGAAACATGACAAAAAAAAAAAACAAAACAAAACAAAAAAAGCTTCGAGTAGATTTGGGAGTAAAAAGTGGCAAAACTGTCACCTTGAGTATAGCTGGTTTGGGACTGGGACCAGTACAGCTAACTACCGGCTATATCTTGGCAATATCATAATTAGGTAAACCGTTTTTTTGGCATCAATCGCTCGATTTTTATACATTGCTTCTCTCCCACCTAAATCTCGATGTTTTACTCTTCTTGGTCGAATAATGGTATTATTAAGTAGCAGGGTAGTTCTGAGGTAGACCTACACGTTCTGATTGGTTTTCACTCGGCCGGGAGTTTGGTCTGAGTGCCACATAACAAACTTCTTACTTCTTACTAGCCTTATTTTATTTATTTATTTTATTTTTTTGCGGAAAACAACAAGTTCGAAGCTATAAAGACATTATACGGACCTTAGAATTATGCGGATTTCTTTCGTTCTGTTTTGAAACAGATGCCTCTGCTTCCTCTGATTCCATTGCTCCTCGCAAAGATTTTTCAATTTCTTTCTCGAAGTCACATTGCCGTTTTCCTTCATATCGAAAATTTACTTGGACTGAAGCGATATAGTCCAGTTTGTTTGGATATATGTGGTACGCAGAGGATGGTAGAAAACACAGTCAGTTTTTTGTTTACAGGCTTTGACTTGCCTAGTAAAACGCGTATGTTAAAACTTTTGTTATTTTCAGAATATATATACTTTTAAAGCTCTATATAATTTTATTGCGTTCTTGGGGACAGTTTTTCCAGAAGGTACACTATTCTGTAACAGTAAACTTAACGGAAAAGAAGTTAAAACAAAAAGCGAACTAACATACAAATGGAACAGGTAAAATAACTTTTTATGCGCTTCAAACTTTTTACAGGTAGCAACGGAATTTATCTTATATTGTAATCAATTTTCATCAAGCCCATCATGAATGAAGGTCAGGGTTTCAGCCAGTCTTATTAGCGTCCATTGTGTCCTCAATAACTTTAAGCGTGTCTGATTTTGGTGTGTGGTCAAATTTTTTGAGATTTCATCACCATTTATCCTGAAGTTTTCAGGAGAATCTTACTGTTTGTCGGACCTGAAATAAATGTTTGTGGCAGGGACAGTAAAATACGAGAAGAGTTGGCCGTTTTCTCTCCACCCGTAAAACTGATATAAACCACTTGTGTTTGTGGAGTAAATTGCTAAATTAAGATTAAGTGTCGTGAATATGTTGAAACAAGGGAAAATAGTGCTGATCTGTTAATCTGGTAAACCTAGCAAAGTCATTGAATATCACATTTGTTGCCTCGGA